CAACTCATGGTCACATGTAAGTTCTGAAGACAACCCTGCTGATATTTTGTCCAGAGGATATACTTCAAGCCATTTACAGAAGTCATCACTTTGGAAGTTAGGACCAACATGGCTGAAAGATCCAGATTTATGGTCACAATGGAATCCTTCAGCTGATTTTTCAAACCAAGAACAAATAACTTGGTCTGCTGTAGCTAATGACAGTCACGAAAATGGTTATTTGTCACAACTGGTTGATGTTGAACGCTTCAGTTCCTATACCAGTCTTCTTGGCAATTGTATTAAGATTAAATTTGTTGAAAAGTCGACAACATTCCAGAGAATTACTAGCAGAAGGTCGTCTGACAGTTCAAGAGCTCCATGATGTTGAAGTTAGACTTTTATATAAACACCAACTGGAGTATTTTGAGGAGGAAGTAGAAATCAAAACAAGTCATGGTAAAACCAACAGATCAATTCATCTACTCTACCCTTTGGAAGTAACATTATCTGAACCAGAAGATTATTTTGAACCAACAACTATTCCACAGACGGAGCTGAGAAGAAGCCGACGCATTGCTGAGCAATCTTGCCCCCGCCCCCAATATGTGGAATAGTTCGCACTATAGAATAATTTGTTGCCCAACTCCTATCTATATTTAGCAACAGTCGAATTGCACGATATCTGTTTGAGTGCGCAAGTCAGAAATATTGTCCACATGTTCTCACCGCCATCTTACCATCGGACACATTCCCTCAACCTGTCTCAGTTGTAAATACTGTATGATGTATGCTGTTGTATTAAAAGTTTAAAAAACACAACGTGAAGTTTACTCATACCTTTGTAGAGCACATATTCCCACAATTATAAACTCTTCATCTATCTGCATCGTGTATTTTGAAATATCTATCGTTTAAAAGTAGAGATAGATAGATCTGATACCACTTTTCATAATGAAATACTTACTTGTGATTGATATACTTCCTCGTGTGAAAAGTTCATAAGCGGTTTTGAAAGCATGTTCGTTTTGCGGTTCGGATCGTTAGAACTTGGTTTATTTATTCACACCAGAAATAAACAGGTTAAAAACTTCTTTGTTTACACCATGATGATATGAATACAATTTAGTTATAGACCATGAAGGGGGGCTAAAGCTTGGGTAACTCGCGTCTTACTATACATTTAAACTTGATATACCACAGCTAAGCGTCACCACAACCAAACGTTATAACCATGTTATAAATAAATAAGGTCATGTCTAGTTGGGACAACGGGTGATTTGAAACAACATTAACACCCACTTCCACACCAACTTTGAAAAAGGGCAGCGGTGTTGGTGTAACTTATATCAATGTTGGCATTGACAACATCTCAACATCGGGTGTCTTAGGCGTACGGGTCAAAAGCCAAAGCTGCCCTTCCGTCTACTACGCCTATGCAGTGTGTTGAGCTATACCGCAGCTATAGTGTGTTCTCATGAATTTCTTTCAGCGTTAACACCGAACCCCTAGGGGTTAACACCAGCCTGATTTCAAAGCTGTTGTTGATTGCTCAGATAGGTATTAACAAAAGGAGTCTTCGATGACTAATATGGTCTCGTCATTTTAAAGAGACAGATGTGCTCAAAATTCTCAGAAACGGGATTTTTTTTAGCTAAGATATTCAGTAATAGTGTTCACAGCTCAGCCTTCAAATCAATGTGTGTCCAGAATTATCCGCATTTGAAAGACACTGTTATATATAGAAAATATATTCCAACTATACGATTTTTATACATTTCTAGTACTTCTGAAGACTATTTACATATATTCAAGACTCAAATTACCTAACATAAGATTTTTTAGGTCGAGCAGCAGTGGTGGACGTGGCGCTAGGCAGGGTATACTTACTCTTCTGACTACTTGGTGCAACTTTTCTTTATGTTATACATCCTCATTTGTGATTGATACACTTTCTCATATTGTGGATGTATTGGCTTTTGTAACATTTGTGATCAGTTTCCTTCCTTGAATTGTTAACAGTTAAAGATTGGTTACCTTATTTTTTAGTGTCAAATTAAACTTTTTGATTAATTGGTGATTCTAATGAATTATCATGTATTCTTAATAATATCATTATGTTCTTATTGCATATGCTTAAGAGTTTTAACCAATCAGAAATATCCTTGTATGTACAGTAAACAAAAAAAAACTTTTATGACCTTTCTTGATCGGTCACTCATTTGAATTCTACTGATAATTCTCTTCTAATTTAGCTAATTATGAATTAATTATAGTCATGTGAGACAAACTGGTATTTTTTCGAGTTATTAGAACACCTCTACTTAGTAATCACCCAATGATGGACACTACTGAAATTCAGAAAAATCGAAAAATATTTAGTAGGCTATGAGTTATTGCCTCTGTTCTCGAAATGCTTATAACACTCCAGAAGGCACAATTCATGAATGGAAAATAAAAACAATTCAGAACTATTTTATATGAGTTCTTGAGCACAATCTTTAAAATGCATTCAATCTTAAGCTCGTAAACACTCAAAGGCTTGATTCGTCTTGGACTTTGACAAAACATGGTAATATTATTCAGTTTCACCCTAAGAAGTGTATGATTGAAGGTTGAATATTTAATACTTGTGATTGTAACTGTACTACCAAATATTTTCATTTAGAATCAAAACTGCAAGTGGGCGTATATTACCTTGCCTGGTAAGCTATTTTTGTCTTTACCTTCATAATTATGTGAAATATTGAGCAGCAATGGCGGGTGTGGCGCCAGCAGGTTTTTGCTTTCTCTTTTAGACACCTAATTTTTCATTATGTTTCATTATGAAATACTTACTCGTTTACGATTGATGTACTTCCTAATACAAAACATTCATTAGCTGGCACGCACAACTATGGCATTGCAAATGGCCAATATGTTTTGTTATGGATTTCGAGTTTCGATTTGCGGTTCGGATCTTTAGAAGGGGCGTCCATATGGGCTTTCTGTTGGAAAAACATCAAACTGTAGGGTGATTATAATGTTATAGGAGGGTCAAAGACGTCCATGAACTTCAACTATCATTCATTGTGAAGGCGTATTGATACCTGTTCTGCTATATACTGCACTGCCCGGTAGGGTTTTATTTGTAATCCCACGAGAGACCAGGTGTACGTATACAGGTTTAGGGTATACATTATTTTAGTGATATCTCGATTTTGAGAGCTTTCTTTTATTGATTATGATATGTAGAGTAAATCTCGCCTTGTCGACAACCTGTTATATCCTATGATAGAACCATGTAGGCGGAAACTAATAATAATATGTCTTATGATATTGTAATTCAACAAGATAGAATCTTTACATGTTAAGTCAATATTGACTAGAAATCAGACAATTGAATGTTAGACATTAAAGGAAGTAACTCGCCTGATTCTTTCAGTAGCGGGGATGGTTCAGCGAGTTAAACTCTAATCTAAGCTAATCTAGTGGTTAATCCCGGCTAAAGGAAGTAATTCAACTTATTCTTTCGAGAGGCGGGATGGTTCAGCGGGTTAACGCTTCCTAGCTTATCTAGTGATGTGCATTAAAAGTAGCTCGATTGTCAAAAATCGGAAATAAAGTAGTACCATGCTGTTCTATCCTCAAATACTTTCCTTCACATAGTAACGGCTCGTCTTCATTAGTTTTCTTTCTGACCAATATTTCCTTTTGACAAGTGGAATCTTATTCAGATAAGGGAGACTAAGTAATTATTACCCTGTTTCCTATTTTCCTTTCGCCATTTGCGAAAAGAGGGGCTAAGTACTTTTTTTCAATTTCCAGAAACATTCATTAGATTAACGGCAACATTTCCGTACAGTATACTTTTGTCGAACTAGTCCAGCTTTCTCATATAGAATCCGATTTCTTTCTTGTCTTCAATCTTTAGATTCTGTACTTTGATAACTTCATACATTCAATGAAGTAAATTGCAAGAACAAAATGAATAGAACGAATAGGCCATGTTTACCGCAGTGAGTGAAGTTTAAAGTGTGATAACATTCCTTGATTCGGCGACTTTGATTCATCGATAGAGAACTATATGATCAAAGTTCACATCTGTTTAAAGACAGAAGTTGTGATTTTAAATTCAATATTATTTATGTTGATAGGAGAATGTTAAATTATGGAAGGTGACGTAGAATGTTCTATAATATATGACAATTCCTTTAAGACTTATCATTATTCTACTTGACTTCATTAAGTATTCTGATATATATTGTCAGAGCGAAATACTTCGCCATCAAGTAGAAGATAAAGATGCTCAGCGATTGGAACCATAGTAGACTAAAGACAATTGTTCGTTACTAAGGTACGTACGTTGCTATGGAATAATTTATTCTTCCAGTCTTTTAAGAGAATTCTTGAGGCATGAACCTAATGTTAATAATTTAAAGTGTTGTTGACGATGACGTATGCCACAGGGAATAGACCAGCCTGTAATTCTTTAGTCGGCGTGACGACGTCAAATACCAGTTCATTCTTTAGCGATTCGTGATCGTGCTGTTGTTATGAATGCAGCTGAATCAACTATGCTGATAATAAGAGATACAATGTGATATTATTTGTTTATGCAATTATATTTATTCTAAAAAGATAATTAAATATTTCTTTTTAATTTAAATATCATCTTTTCCAAAATCTAAAAGTTGATTCTTTAGGTCGAAGGTTTACTTTTTCTTTTATACCATAATGGAATTTGTTGGTTACTCACATAACAGCTTCTTAGGATATTTAAAAGTGATATTCTAAACGCTTTAGTTTCAATTTTTTTTTCTGTATCCAGTGCGTGAAAGATTTAAAGGTGAATTTGTAAACAGTTGTCGGATTTAAATCTTAATCACATTGGAACGAGTATATAGATAGATCTTCTTCAAATATTAATTAATCCACAGATTGACTGGTTGAAGGTGTACATACGAGTTTTCTTTCTACTAAGTTTTCTTTTGTGTGTCGTGGATTTGCAGACAGGATACCTACAGTTACCTACAGAAAAAATGGATACTTTAGAAAAAATTTATCAAATATTAGGTGAGTAAGAATATAATATATTACGTAAGGTAGATGAATTTAATCAAAATATTGCACCTGACATTCTTGAGAAAGAAAACAGAGTTAACACAGTTAACTTATAGGCTTCAAATTAACAGTTTGCATTTGTTTGTAGCGATATATGTCATAATCTGCCAGAGGACAACGAATAAAGGTCTGAAATATTCATATTACGTAACTTCTCAAACGAAGCTTCCAAGAGTTCAATAATTATCCACGTAATTAATTGTCTTTCGTATATCAATTGTATATCAGTAATCAACACGAAGCATGCTATTTAAACTGTTAAATGGACAGTAACGATAAACTCCATGTTATTTCGATTGCGAATCAAATGATCAATATTAATACTTCATAAAACTAAATGGAACATGACATTGGACTGAGTTTCGCCTTCGCCTGATTAGATATATTCAATGTAGATAATTACAAATGGGAAGTTTCAAATCAGGAAGATTTGATATATAACTAAGTCCAATTTAAAGGATTATAATTCTGTAATGAATTTAATTCTAAAGTGTAATCGTCCTCCATGTACTTATTTTCATACCAACTGATGGCGCTCCAATTCACAATTTGTTAATTAACTTCTTATTATTCACCCTTCGCTCAAATATTGAGGGGCCGAGTAGGGGCCACAAAATGTGGAGTGGAGAAATAAGGTTTTTTATTATGACATTTTTACAACCAAAATCATCATGATACGTTTAAAATTGTGAAAATTTCAAATTATTTTCCTTTTTTTAGGTTTATTACTGGTGTACGTTAATTCTATACTTTCTGCTACAACTGGAACAAGTGCTGTTTCAAGCTCCACAGATATCGCTGGAACAACTCCCTCTAGCGGTGGTGGTGGCGGTGGCGGAGATCCAGCAGATCCAAACACATCTACTACAACTGAAACTGTGTATACAGATTTCTTTGACGATCCACACAATCAAGCCACTTATATTGTATTGCCGGTCATAATTCTCGTGTACGGAGGCTGTGCATCAATCTATTGTATTGATAAGTGTCGTAAATCATGTAAGAAGCGGGCAAGACGAAAACAACAAGAACAAATGATGGGAAGTCGAGCTTTTCTGCAACAAGACGAGGAAATTGAACAGAATACTTTTGAAAATAAGGCGTATGATCCTGACGATCATGGTAGACACAATCATATAGAAGAATATAAGAAAAATGATATCGGAAATAAACTCGTGTATCCAGAGAAGTCAATGACTCCGACTGATCCATACGAATTGGAAGCTGCGCATGCAAAGCCCATGTTACAGCACGGAGCACAGAAAATGGGTTACAATATCATGCCTTTACCGAACTCTACAGAGGACCCGGTTGTTAATTCCAATATCGATACACATCTCAAGAACGCTTTTGCCATGATAGAGCATGCTGCTCGAGACATCAAGATGCAACAAGCGCTGGAAATGAGGTCCTGTCCTGACAGATATCCTAAACAACACGAAAACAAGACCGAGATCCCAAATAAAGGGGGTTATAAAAAGAAATATTATATTGCCACATAGACGTTTAAAACTGTGATACAAAGTTTGTGTGTTTATTAATATCCCCAATAACCCCCCGATAACTAATTTCTGACTTGCTATACAACACTAACAAAAGTTATGCAATGTGTGCCTATATCCACCTCAAAAGTGTTAGAATTATAGTCAAGGTTATTTCTAAGTAACAGGAAGCTAATGAATGTTACATTTCCCGTTCTGTTTATAAATTTTGTTGTGAATTTTTTATTTACCTTAAGGGATTTACATTTATATTTGTAGCTTTGATTTCCATTTATATTTGTTGATATGATTTCCTTTTATATTTGTGTGTATAATTTCCTTTTATATTTATGACTCTGATTTCCATTTATATCTGTGCATATGATTTCCTTTTATATTTGGGGTCATGATTTTCATATATTTTTGGGGTCATGATTTCCATATATTTTTGCGGTCATGATTTCCATTTATATTTGGGTTCATTATTTCCATTTATATTTTGGGTCATTATTTCCATTTATATTTGGGGTCATGATTTCCATTTATATTTGTGGCTATGATTTCCATTAATACTTCTTGTAGTTTCCCTTAATACTTTCCTTACGTGTTACATCTCAATTTATAGATAGGGTTTTGATTTCAACTTATATGTCAGATTAATCTTTTTATATTATAAAGGTTAATTTCATTTACGCGGTTTACCAGACTCCATTTAATGACCTGTTTACCAGTGCCTGTATTGCCATCTAAGAGTCATAGACAGTCAGTGACAAGTGAAATGTTTCAGAGTGTCGTTTCCGACACCAGGAAAGACAATATTTAAGCAAATGTTATATTTGAATGTTTATAAAAGCGATTGCTATTGATCTAATTTTTATGTCATGTAGCACCGACTTTAACGGATAATCCTGTCAAGAGCTTAGGCCAAAGACCAGCTGGTTAAAAGTATCTTTAATTGTCAACCTAAGTTGTTATCTTTACAAACTATATTTCTTTGTTTCTTTCTTTTTCCCTTAATTTGAAAATAAATGATTTTGGTTAAGTATATGCATTTCCTACAGTACGTTTGACTGAAAATGCCTTTAATGTTGCCACCTTTGTGCCTATTTTGATTCATCACTTAACTGATTTTATACGAATGCCGACTTTTTGTCCTTAGAAAGCGACATTTATATTAAAGATAGTTTTATCTTATTCCTCATTAGTTAGATCCTACACGCGAGATAGGTCGAATGAACTCTTATTTTAATTTCCGTTTTGTAACTTGTCTTTTTTATTCAACATTAATTATTCACGTGATTCGTGTACATATAACTATGTTGCTTGCACACTTGATTTAATTATTATACTAATTCATATTCTGTTGTGAATTTATTTGCTGCTGTAATCAGACCATCTCTTGGTACTGTGACACATTAGTTGTGGCGATTGTGCCCTTGGACACTGCGTTCATTTGTAGAAGTTGTGGCCCTTGACAATCTATGCGTTATTGTGATTCTTTGCAATCTGTCCAACGGTCAAAGGTGTAACCGTTTCTAACGTTTTTGATTAAATGTTTTGCCATTGGCGATCTGTTTGTCAGTAAAAGGCGTGACCCTGTCTGATCTGTCCAATGGTTTAACATTTTGTCCTTTGCGATCCGTCCATAGTCAAAAGCCTACGTATAGTGACCGTTTCTGAACTGTCCAACGGTTAAATGTTTTGTCGATTTGTTTTTAGCCATTAACCCATCTGTTAAAGGTGTGAACTTTTGCGACCAGGCCATCGATAAAATGTATGTATATATTAAACTGTTTTTATTTTTTATCTGGTGACTTTATGATTATTTCGATACGTATATTTTTATACTGTGTTTCTTTTTTTCAGTCCGCTTAAATTCAGCGGTTGCGACACTTTGTTATCTAATTTTAAGTGATTCGCGACCCTTATTATCCGTTCACTTTGTTATACATGTACACCGAATTGTGAAATTCGCCGACTTTTTTATCCGTCCAATTTTAGAATTTACGACCCTTAATAATCCGTCCAGTTGTACAAATCGCCCCCCTTACAATACACCAACTTGTACAGAATGTGACCCTTCCTCATCCGTCCAAATGTAGAATTTTTAATACGTTACGATATGTCCATTTATAGGCGTTGTAATCTTTTTACATTTCGTTTTTTTTTAGTAAACTATGATACCTAGTGTTGTTGATATCATATTCGTGTTTTTGTGAGTAACCACGATTTTGTTTTCAGAATTGATCCACGGCACAGTTTTTTGATGTTTAAAGTTTTTGACGTCTCTTGAATTGGTTTATCAATTTCCAATCTACTGAAAATTAGATTACAATTTCGTATGTTTTCTGATCAATTTTGAACATTTATTAGAAACATTAGACAATACTGTTTATCTCTTGGCATATGATTACTTAATGTCAGTGTTCTGTCGGGTTCACCATATCGATGAATCCTCATCAATTTAGTGTCTTCGGCGCAGAGTTTATATTAATGTCTCTTGGAGTCTGTAGTCAGACAAATTGTCTATGATAATATGTAAATTAACATTATGTTAAGACCTTAGCGCTGTGAACATTGAAACAGTACGGTATCTAACATCAGACCCCTGTATTTATTAAAGCTAATATTATCTTATACTGTTTACATGAAGCTTGTTATTTGTTATTGGTCTAATCTATATGATCTGTCCTATTCTATTTTTATAATAAAGCAATAAATCTAATCTAGATGCAATGTAAATAATAAAACATATCTTAAATAATTGATTATATTTTCCTCTTGGTGTATGTATGCCGGTCATCTGATAGTCATCTCATCCTTGTCTTTAATTATCAGTTGATATTACTCATAGGAATAAGACGCACTTACAATCACGCCCTATATCTACAATCGATCATACAAACCCCTCTTAAATCTACAATCGAGTCTCTCACAATTTCGATCTTCAGTGGCTCACACACTCACGCCCTACATCTTCAGTCGCTCACACACTCACGCCCTGCACCTACAGTCACTCACACAAACACGTAGAGTCTCTCACACACTCACGCACTACATCTAAAGTCGGTCAAAAGCAGCCGTTTGTTTTCGGGGCGACTCTTGTTACTTTAACGTTTAACCCTGCAATTTCACAAGATTGTAACACTGCGACGTGAATATAGTTCATAGGTCAATTTGGAAATAATTTGACACTTTGAATTTAATGTCATATGTATATTGTGACACTTTCCTCCATGATAAGGCCTTGGACTGTAAATATTTTTTTAACAAATTATCTAACGTGATCACCTCACCGTTCAAACTAAGGCCTATACGAGATACTTTAGAGATGAGCATTGACTTCCAACTGTGCACTTTCAACATTTCGATTCCAAGAGTACACATAAAAATGGTAAGTTGAATGGTAGCAACGGAGACATATTTTAGTCATTTTGTCTGGGTCTGAACATCTGTAGTGGGAAAAGGTTACAAATCGGCAAACTCGACATCTCATGTCATATTTATTTTATTGTTTTTACCTTTTCAAAAAGGGTGGGCTATTGTTACTTCAACTTTAACGCTTTTAACACTTATAATGAATGTCGTAACGGGCTAAAGTATTGGCCACACGACATTTGGCTCATGTTAAATAGCAGCAACTAAACCGACAAGAACAAAAAAGAGAACAGGACTAGAGCCACACGTGGCACAGAGTGGGACTTTGCAAATGTAGCAAAATGCAAAAGACTCTGAAAATATCAACCTTCTACGATAATTACATCACGCGCAAGAGCAGTCTAAAGTTGAGAAGAATTCTTTGAAAGATTGTTATAACGGAAGTAGACAGACCTCACAAATGAAAGTATCAGAAGATAGCCAAGGTCAATGACATTTGACATTGAAAGGGAGACGGTCAACAAAGGTCAAGGTTACGAGAAACAAGTCATCAAATTTTTTAAATATATACGGTTATAAAACCGGAAGTTGAGATAGGACAGCAAATATAAAAGTATAAAAAGATAGCCAATGTGAATGACCTTTGATCCTACAAAAATCGGGGTCAAAAAAGGTCAAGGTCAAAAATTGAAAATTTAGAATTTTTAAAACCTGTTCCTTTTTGTGAACTATAAAGCTGAAACAATCGAACTTCTAAGACAACGTGGCTCAACGGATGGAGTAATTGTATGCAAAGTTCCATTTTGAACAAATGTATACAAGAGTCAATAAAGGTCAAAATAGAAAATTTCAAAACTCGTTCCTTTTTTGGAAATATAAAGCTGAAACAATTGACCTATTAACACAAACTGGCCAAAATAATGAGGTAATTGTGTGCAAAGTTCCTTTTTGAACAAATGTATCGTATGCGAGTTATGCCCCTTTCCCAAAATGTAAACAATTAGTAATTCAACCCGGATGTGCCACGCCCACCTCAACTTTTTTGTCATAGGTTAATTCATATTCAAATTGTCTTGTTGTTTCAATGTTCTACATAAAATAGGTCATAAGATATATACACACCAAGCTCAAAGAAACAGAAATATTGTAAAAAAAACCTCAAATTTGAAAAATTCACGAATTTCAATTTTGCTTTAAAAAAACGATTGTTATAAATCACTTGAAAGAGCATGAAAAGCACATTAAGAATCCGAAAAAATTAACCCTCTAGGTTAATTAGGTCACGTGCTAGAGCAGTCCAAAGTTGCGAATTTTGCTGTTTTCGGACAGCTATAAAACCGGAAGTACATGTCGGAGGTCAAATGTCAAAGTATTAACTGATAGCTAAGGCTGACCTTATGAAGGTCAAGGTCATCAAAGTTCAAGATCACGAGATATGACCCTTCAAACTTTGAAAAAATTCAACCGGATGTTGCAAAAAAGCGAAATTGAGAATCGAAAAACGGCTTCCTAATGTCATGTTTTTTTTCTTCTTTCATTTGACACCAAAATCATTTAAATCGGATGAGCCATTATGTCTGAATAAAAATCGAATCATTTCAGAAAAATCAAAATGGCGGCCAAAGTTTCACGTCTGTTCCGGATTTTTTTTTCTTCGTTTTTTTGTCGTAACTTTGTCTACCTATCAGCATAAAATTTTTTGTCCTATACAAATTACACCGGAAGATATTCAACCGGAAGTGAACATCGATTTCCTGTTTAAACCGGAAGTGAAATTGAAAATTTGACTGTACCATTTTGTTTACTTTCTTAAACTGTCTTTGCTCAATTTTTTCAGATTAATCAGACAAAAACCAAAAAAAAAAATGAAAAAAATGCGACAAATTTTCGAATTTCGAAATTTTGAAACTGCTATTCTTTCAGATTTTAACAGTAGATTCCAAAAATGCAAACCCAAAGAAAATCGACAGAAAAATACGACTTCTAGAGCCGATTGTCTATTCTTGCACATATTGAACTGTGGCACTTCCGGTTTTGCAAAAAGATCCAAAACATATTTATGCACATCGTCGCCTATATCTAAGGTTCGTGAATGTTGAATGGTTGCTGCAACTATTGTAGTCTAAGCTCAGTAAGGTGTGTTGACATTTCAATAACAAACTGGGACTTTGCAGTAGCAAAGTCCCACAATTATGTATGACTAATTTTGGAATAAGAAGTTAACAAACGCAGTCCCAAATTATCAAGCAGAATAACTTTCATTTTCTTGTTGTAAGATTAAAATAATTTGTAAAAGTTCCCAACCTAAAAGCATGCTGAAAGAGGTCGATTGCTATCCTACTGAGTGATTAGACCAGAATGTTGTCATCTATAATATAAGAAATATAAACAAGTTAGTTTAAATGATTAATGATAAAGTAAAAGTAGAGATAATAGAAGTTATATTGATTATAATCTTATCATATCATGTAGAATATTTCGACACTTCCTATTTAGCCTATTACCCTTTATTTTCCAATACCTGCAGCTGCAATCCTACTTTCAATTACATTGAGAGAAAAAACGCATGTTGATAAAGAGACAGAGATAGAGAGACCTTATTGATGAGTCTTGAAGCGGGGCCCAGTTATAGACATTTGTTTTTTTTAAACAACAAAGATCTTTGCTTGGTTGGGTTGAGCGATTCGATTTCACCAATATGTGTTGCAATAGAGCGGAAGAACGCACCTTTGAAGAGTGAGGACGAACTTGAAAAAACGTTTTTGTCACACCCCTTTTCGCAAGGGAAGAAAGGTGTATACAAAATGTAGGCATATAATAAAGTGAACGTTTGGCGATTTTTTTTTTTTTTTTTGGATGTTCTGTGTACTTGCTGCTCTCGTGCTGTTGTGAGCGTAGTGAACTTGCAATTAGACCAACGTTACCTTTGAATTTCAACTTGGTTGCAGCTCGATATTTAAATTGTATTAATTATTTTAAAAAACGTAAGATTGATATGCTACAATCAAAATCTATATCATTAGAACGTTCAAAGACAATGCCACTGACAGAAAGTTGGATAAGGTCAATCAAATTTTATAACCTGGTAACATCAAAGACGTTACAGACGGTTGATAACTCGATGTTATAAAGGCGTATTATCGCTAGCTATGTAGGCTCATAGATGATTGATAGTTCCTTGCTGAAATATTCACGATGTTTCTTTATGTTGTAGATGTTATAGTAGAGTAATTGTCTTAAGGTATAATGGATCAATCCTTCCCTCGAGAAACATTGTAGATATACTTATATATTATTTATTCTAACAAATACAATTCTTTACAATAAACCTTTACTTTTCTTTAACCCAATTTAAACAGTGAAAGACCTTTGGTAGTTCTCTTCAAAGGAATCCACTTCTAATCATTTAATGCTCTTGATTTTGTCTTACAATTAGCCAGCTTTAGCTTTCTTTACCTCAATGTGAACAGTGACAGGAGCTCATACAGTCCACGAATTTAAAAAGCATGCAAAATGCAGATCTCGTAAAGCGACACTTAGACTGGATTGGAGTCACCAATTCAATCATCATCATTTACGTGTTTAATTTGAAACTATGTTAATGTAATTTAAAGATGTCGAGATAAACGAGTTTTTTTCTTGCACGGATTTTTTCTTAACATTTGAAAACACACAGAAGAGAGATCTCGTAATTTAACACAACGGAAACAATTTTTAAATTTTTCTGACCCAATTTCACATCTCAAGGGAAAGTAACTCGTGCGCAATAAAAGTTTCAATTGAAAAACGGTGTATTTGAAAACATGATATATTGGCTATTCGCGGTTTTGGTCCTAAATTTTTTGTGCACTGAATTGTAGCAAATCAACCTCCACATTGTCTAATTCCTGTTTAGATCGTTTAACTCATGAAAACTAAATAAATATTACTTTTCATGGGATTTCTCTTAAATAGAAATTATTACACCAACTCATCATCTATCATCTTACATAATACTCTATATCACATATTAAAATATTGATAAACCATACTTAAAAGGATATAGATTCCTTATAAAATTGTTCGTTTTTACCAACCGAGAAAGCTCAATTTCAGCTATACATGTCAGAAACGGAAATCTATTTTCAGAGCAAAAAACTAACAATAGATTTGGCAGGCTGTTTTAAAACTCTTGGTTTACCATGTACATGTTTTCACCATCTCCATGAAGGTGTTTATATTAACAAAACGAAACATATGTAGAAGCATGGTGATTAGCTGGTTATAAAGTCACAAGATATCATACATATTTATTACCTCCGTCACTTATACGAGGTTTGCCTTCTTAAGGTAAACACGATAGAAATTAGTCCGAAACACATGCCTCTATACCAGCCTCTGATAGCTCTATACCAGCCTCTGATAGCTCTATACCAGTCTCTAATGGCTCTATACCAGCCTCTGATAGCTCTATACCAGCCTCTGATAGCTCTATACCAGCCTCTGATAGATATTTTGACAATTACAGGCTTTTTCAGAGTAAGAAAAACTAGGCCCCTTTTTAAAGCATAATATTATATAACCTTTAAGATGACTGTAAATTAGTGTTGGGCATCACGGTAAGTTTCGTTTTGTTATAATCACGTGACTCTGTAACCATTGAACTTTTTGTTGCGCACACAGTTTTGAACGAGAAATCAGTAAAAAAATTTTAATGGAATCGAAGACATGACATAGATGGTGTAATTTTTGTGGCTGAACTATAAAAATATCCATCTTTCCGAATATATT